ACTTTTCATATTGCTACTATAAAATGGCTTATTGTGCTTATTCCTGTGCTTATTCCAGACTGCTTGTCAAATATTTACTTGCAAGAAGTAGGAACAGTATTAGGTCCAATACTGTTTTCTATAATGATTAATGATATCCGTCCTGTTCAAGCCTCCAACTTAATTGTTAAATTTGCAGATGACATCAATCTAGGGATTAAGGTCACAGATGATAGTGACGCCTCTTATATGGAAGCAAACAATATTATCAACTGGGCGGAAACAAATCGCATGAAACTTAACTACAAAAAGACGTGAAAGATGGTCATTCGCGGCAAGATAACCCGGCCACTTTCTGCGCCTCTGCTACGATTGTTCGTAAAAGTTGGTTGAAGATACTTGGTGTAACGTTTCAAGAGAATCCTTCCATGTGGAACATGCATCTAGATGAATTAATGAGTAAAGCCTGTAGCAGAATGTACATTATTCGGATTCGCAAATACTACGGGTTTTCTAGGAAGGAGCTGGATCTTCTGTTCCATAGTCTTATTTTATCAATAATAGTTTTTGGTATAGAGGTCTGGGGATGTGCGTCGTATTCTAAGTATCTTAGCATATAAGTATGGATATCTTACGTATCAGGTATCGATTGTTGATATATTAAACAATAAAGACAGAGATTTATTGGAGAAAATAACTACGGATCCCAACCATGCCATACAAGTTTTGCTGCCTCCTAGTCGTCAATTAGAATTACGCAATCGCGGACATGAGTATGAACTACCGAGAGTTCGAACAAAAGGTTTAAAAGAGTGTTCGTTAATAGATGTCTTTTTAACTTCATATGATATTTTTTAAGTTAGAAATTAACTTCTTAGGAACTTCATTAAACATTATAATAATGATATTTTAGCTCTATTAATGAATAATATCAATACTAATTCAGATATTAGTATAATAATTATTGATAAGTAAGTGCAAATTGTAAGCCCGCACGTTTGTTGTGAGGTGTTGCTTTTAATATTTTAATAAAGATTTATACATACATACACTTATTACGTCAGCAAGACGTGGCAAAATCAGTCCTCGAAAACGAGGTCGGCATTCGGCAATGCCGGGCTAAATGCAAATTTTGCCCACCTTAATTCAACCAAAGTAAGAATTTTTTGTGCTGATAGCTTTTAAAATGTCAGCGAATTCGATTAACTGAACACACTACGGTGTAAGGTTTAAAAACTGACGGGTATATATTGTGTATATACGTTAGATGTTTGAAGATCAAATTTCGCGCGTCTGGAGTTAAAATTTGGCTCCAACTTTCGAATTTTCCGGCTGGAGGTAACGTTCCAGTTACATTCCGATTTCAATGATTCGTAAATGCGTGATTAATATTGCTCCAAGACGTGGAACAGATTTTAAGAAATGCCGAGATGTGCCGACCTAGGTCAGATTTAGGTCGGCCCTCTTTTGCCGACCACAATTTAGAGCGGGCGATTAGAACTAATCGCCCGTTACCAAGGGTCACACCTTTGTCTCCCTGACGACTACGCATTAGGCAAGTGCCTCACGCACATAATCGTGCAAGAAACAGCAACAGTTAGCTCAGAGCCGTCAATAGTCTATCATCCGATCCCTGAGTTGCCGCATCATTTAAATTACGCACGTGCAGTCTCCAAATTTATACTAATATATTTAACGTTTTTGTTGTGGTACGTTAAACGATAGATTGCGCATGCGTAACCGATTAAAGCGTAAAAAGTGCGCATGTGCAACAAGCTTTTACATCCCACAACAATGAAGCAAATGTTTTAGCTTAAATACGCTGATTCCAAGTGGGGCATGTTTGTCCATTTTTAAATGGGAGCGCAACTATGCTATTACAAACTAATAGCATGGCTTTTCGGGAGATTAGTGATTAAATGACCCCTTACCCTCGGCAGGTTTGCGGGAACTGGGAACGGGTAAAATGGGAACTGGGATTGACCTATTTTTAGACTGGGAAAATGGGATTTGGATTGCTGGGACTGGGATTTGGCCACTGGGAATGGGAAATGAAGTCCTCAAAAATGGGAATGGGATTGAAGTAATGTGAGTCGATTCCCAATTTTGATCCGTTTTTGGTGTCTTTAGTCATGAATTTTGTTGTTAACTATATTATATATTCACAGCATTACCTGCAAACAGGCATATTCTGACGCCCGGAATTTTGGTGTTTCTGATTATGCGTGTCTCAGAATGATGCAAATGCCATTTCCGGGATTCAAATTTAAAAATTTTCCGTGTCTTCGGCACGAGCCCCCCTTCTCCACTATTTCATAAAGTGACCGCCACTTGCACACACACGTACGGTGGCTTAAAAGGTCTTAAAACTGTTTATTCTACCGATAAATAAATGGTTTTTTATTGACTGGGATTTCAATAACTCGGACTGGGATTTCTAATAAAAATCCAACTGGGACTGGGATTTTGCCAAAATTTCAGGTGGAAAATGGGATTGGGAACCCCCCCCCCCACTTCAGGGGCCGGTTGTACGAAAGGTGGATAAATCGCTATCCGGTGGATAAGTCCCTATCCAGCGGATAAATTTTATCCGGAGTGAAAATCGCGTTGTACGAAGCTTGGATAGCGCTATCCAACGGATAAAATGCACTATCCGCTGGATAAATTTATCCGAAGTCCGGAGGTAGTTTAATTCCACAATCCGGCGGATAAACTCGAAGTTTGAAGTCAAAACAATGTGTATTTCATTTAAAAAGGATTGCTATTGTGATAGAAATGGACAAATACCGTTTAGAAGTCCTTTTTTTGACACTAAATAAACATGGAAACTTATTTATGACTTCTCTTGCTCTTGACGTACCGAGCTCACTTTGAGTCACTTGCCCATTAAATAATGCCATGACTTTGCCATATTTTATGCAGACCTGTGTCAGTGCTTAGTCGTTACGTTTTCTGGCTTTTTCTCTTCTTTTTTTCTGTTATATATAGCTCGAAAACAAGCAATAAAACTTTCATTAAATGAGTTCCCTTCAACGCCAAACAAATATAGCTGCATATAAAGAGACAACAAGACACCGAAAATCGAAAAATTTTGTTCGCTGGCCTTGATCAGCCAATCAAATCTTGCGAGAAAATGTTCTTAAAATTGTTTTGAATGACGTGAAAGGTCAAAGAACAAATATTCGGACAGTATATAAAATAAAACTGAATCAACGTACTGAAACAAGAAAACAAAACTCGCAGTCTTTGCTATTGCCTTCGCATAAAGAAGCCAAAAATCTTTTAAAGAAATATCGATAAGTAGATAGCAAACTCTTCACTGTGGAAAAACGAAGTATTGCAACGATTGGACGAGAAAAACTCCAAAATATAAACATGAACAAAAAACCTTTATTGCAAGTTGATAGTTCAAAGGTTAGTGGAATTCACAAGTTATACGAAGATACTACAACAAAAGTTTACAAATACCTAACAACAGCTGACGTAGAGACAAGAAATTTCAGGAAAATCCATTTTTTTCCGGTTAAAATTAAGGTTATCCGACGGATAGCTATCCACCCTGCTATCCGTGCTTCGTACAACGCATTTTTATTCGGCAGATAGCTATCCATTGGATAGGAGATTTATCCATTGGATAGGACTTATCCACTGGATAACTTATCCACCTTTCGTACAACCGGCCCCAGGACCCTCACTATAGGCTATTGACTCGGCAAAATTACCAAACAACAGTCGACCAAAGATCACTCACACCCCCCCCCCCCTCACTCGAAGAGGGTTAGCGTCGCCCCTGAGTGTTTTATATGTGATAAAACACGACTACAAGTGCTTTAAATAGCTTCAAAAACGACTCATCTTATACGAGTTCATTGGCGAAGTAATTTTTAAAATAAACTTTGTCTAAAACGTGAAAATTAAAGCTAAAGTTTATGTATATTAACGTGATTTTTTATCACATATAAAACCACGACACGCTTATGATTTTTCTTTGTGTTTTGCTCCTGAATTATTAATGAGTTTTTGAAGTGTTTTAAGCGCTTATTGATGTTGCGTGTGGAATAGAGTTTATTACGTGCGAGTAAACAGTGCTTTTATAAGCTCTTATTTAAGGATTTCTAATAAAATTTCTTTTAAAGTCGTTTATTGAAACTAACATGTCACTTGTGATCATGATTGTCCGCGCGGAGCCAGCGCCGTTCCGGGCTTAAGCCCGGGGCGAGGGTACTAATCCCCCTCGGCTATTTACATCCGGGGAAACGAAAGCATTAGCGAAATCTAAAGTTCATCAATGATCGCGGGTGTGGCTCACCAACGGTGTTGAGTGGGTGGTCATCCTCACTGATCTCAAAAATATGGCTGATTGGTTGTAAGAGTGGGATGAACAAGATTTCAATTTTAAAAGACACATATTTGGGAAATCGTTTCATATACAACAAGCTTGAAGCAATTTTGTTTGAAGAAATGAGAAGAATTGGTTTACTATGGGAAATCGTGAAATATACGGCAAGTTTGCTTTGAATATTTAATTTTTTCGAATTTTGTTGCTTTTTGCCTAAAAGCATGAACTGTTTTCCTTTTCAACGAAGCTGAAAGTTTCATAAATTACCGTTTAATTTGAGAGAAAATCTTAAAATGTAAAGGAGAACAAATTGATTTGAAGACTGAACTGAAATTACCTAACAATTTGTTTTTATTTGTAACTTATCATGTTTTAGTGAATTATTAGTTTATCGGCAAATGTAGTTTAGCTGAATTAACGTTTCAAAATATTTTACGAAGCGTTTCAAGTTAAATTTTACATTAAATCAAAGCTCACAAAATGCAAAATAATCTACATACAGTATATATTTCGGAAATTTATTGTTTTATAGTTAAAAGAACGAATCTTTCACTCATTTTGCAGTTTTGTTAAAAAAATATGAAAAAACTAAAAATTTAAGAATATCGTGTTGTCAACTTGTCATGGCAACACTTGAGCGCGAGCCTGCGTTCAGTGGGACATTTCTGTATACTTCATGTTAATTTAATGCTTCGAAAATATTGGCGAGGGGTTACTGCATGTAAATATTTCTAGTTTTATTATAAGAGTTGTGTTTTGTGGTAGCAGTTCGTGATGTAATACGGTTCGTTCTGTCTGCGATTGAGGTTTTTGCGCATAAAGGTGCGCTTCGATAATGAACACAAGTAGGAAATGATTTCAAGACAAATAGGGAAAATATGACGTCGTATTCCGTCGTAGTCAAAGTATTCTAGAGTAGTCTAGCAACTCATTTTACCTGAAGAAAAATTTGCGTCTTGAACAAATATACTAGTATCCCAAAGGTCGCGGGTGAAATAATAACGTCGATTCGACGTTATTTGTGGCAGCATCAATTTGGACGTGGCCCCTTATTTATACTGTACTATTGATGACTCGGTTGACCTGCACAACATATTCTCTATGTCATCTGTGAAATTGTGCTCATTACTTTGGTAATCAGGGGGTTATCAACGGCTACGCTCTTTATTAATTAATTATAATGATTAATGTCTAATGGATTGATGGTTATTGGCTATGTCCCTGACGAATATTGGAAACCTCTTGAACCATTCTCTATTCTAAAAGAATTTTTTTTCAACCCAGAATACAATACTGACATAAAACACAATGGAAATTTGATGGAACACCAGATACTATATATCACATTATTTCACAATGATACTTATCTGAATCCTTCTGGGAACCAGATGTGCAAATGTATACTATTTATACATTTGAGGTATAGGACTGTATATGATCTATAATTAATAATATATACTGTAGACTAAACCAAGTATAATTAAAGCACTGGAGATATATCTTTAATTTCTGCTTTGTATGTGCAGTATTATGTTAGTCTTTGCCAAAATGGCAAGGTTATAATAAGGTGCTAACCATACTTCATCAACTTCCTACATCACCCCCAACCTCGTACCCTGGGCTAGCCGCGAGTTGATGGCGCGGCTAGCCCTAGGTACGAGGTTGCATCACCCCAAGCAATTCTGTTTCTGCCCTTCACCTTTACCGACGGAGCGAACGCCTTGAGCATGCGTCTTGTTCTTTATACAATCGGTCCATTTGTTCAGCTAATTTTAGAAACAAATAATATAAAGTCAGCTGTGTCTATTTTTTTCAATTTTAAAAAGTCAAAATGCCATCAATGGAACTCGGCGAAGTTAATATAAGATGCACTGATATTAACACGAATTTGAAAATTTCACTTCCAAAAAGTATAGTTCCACATGAAAGTATACTTCTAGACAGTAAAGCTATAACATGCAGGTAAAATTACACTACATATATCAATCGTGTTATGACTCCGTCCAAAAAGCCTACATTTGTATTAATTAAACTCAATATTTTTTAACAAATCCATTCATTTCATATGTGATTCAAAATTTCTTTCCGGGGAATCCACGATAAAGTTTTTGATCTTCAATCCCGCTTCTCCGCGTAAATTATATTTACCATAGAGATAATATTCACGTCAATTTAAGTTGATTTTAAAAGACCGACAGGTGATTCATGTTAATTTAATTAGTTTTTAAAAATAACTACAAGTAACTCGCGTGCTTTCAAATCGCTTTAAAACAAGTTGTTTCGTTATATTTAATTCAGCTAACTTGTTTTTCGGCATTTTAAATCGTATTAACTCTAAAATCAATAATTCTGGTTGGCACGGCTCACTATAACTATATATATAGTTAACTTTAGCTAAATTAATTGATACAACCGTCCCCTGTCTAACTGATACAACCAACAACTCCTGCCTCGTTTAACACTATGTTGTTTAGCTTGTCGTACCGTTTCTGGTAGCAGCTCGTACTGAGGTAACTGCGGTTATGAGGTGGCGCTTGGATGATTTAAAACCAAATAGGAAAATCCTGATAGAGACATGTAGCCGAAGTATTCCAGTAATTCATTTCACCAGGACGAAAAACTCCCATCTTGATAAAATATTTCGGAATTACACCAAAAACTGATTTATAATTTAGCATGTTCTATTGAGGACAAACTGTTTTTTGGGCAGTTGAGTTTATCTTTATTCTTTAATTCTTCTCAATTATTTGCAGAATCTCCACAACAAACGTAGAGCTTGATTTTTGTGAGATTTGAGACAGAATTCTCTATATTCAGCGTTCTAGTTGCTAGGTTGATTACAGTAAAATATTTTAAATAGAATATGTCGATAAGCTTTTCTGTCTTTGATATGTCTCATTTCATAGATGATAGCATTCACGATCGAGTTTATTCCATAAAGTTCATATTGAAAAACTACGTGCCACATCTACGTGACACAAAAGCTGTCTAAACTGTGGGATTCCCGTCCATCTGGTGGACGGGAAATCTGATTGGTTGATCAGCATCATGAAAGATTATGATTGGTTGTAAGTTCACATAAACAACAGTTTTAAAAATAGCTCGGTCAAGGGCTCAAGTAACAAATTCCATTATCGATTTCTTCGAATTTTTTTCTTGAAGAATTTTGCACACACGACGCTGAAAGAACAGCCAAACTAGTCATGTATTCGAAAGCGTGTTGTTGACAGACAAGATGTTCTGCCAACTGGCTTCGCCGGCAAACGCCAAAAGTCTTATTTTTAATATCAGGTCCTACCGACGTTGTTTTCTGAGCTACATCGCCTTCTTCGTGGTACGATTGAGAATTTCATTGTTGCTGTTGTTAGCCCGTTAGAGTATATCTACGTCCAGCAAGTTGAGACCTTGAGAAAGCTTGGCAGTCAAGCCGTGCGCAGAACTGACTAATTTAATATTTGTTTGCTGTTCGGTTAAATAGAGAAACTGACTCTAAATTATATAGAAGTACCTTGAATTTTTAAGTTTAAGTAAAAAGCTACAATCCTGGTCAATAATATTGGCGCACTTGACACTGACTGTGCGAAATTTGACTCCCACTTCAATAACAAGCATAGCAACCCCCCTTTCCCCCGTGCAATGTTGTCTGTAGTGTGTTATACGTCCAAGGTGTTACACAACATTGATAAGGGGGATAGGGGGTGTTTGGACATGAAATTTTGTATAAAATTGGCAAATATTTACATGGTAATCAGAAATGAAGTAAAGGTTATGCTATTTCGACTAAGTGCGCCAAGGATTATTGACCAGGATTGTCTGAATGTGCATTATCTTACATTTTTATTTTTATTTCATCACAATACATCGGCCTTAATTCTTGAATCGTTAGTGAACCTCTAATAATATTTTGCGTATTAATAACGTGCGTCTAAATAAATAATAAACATTTATAATATAATAATAATAAAATATAATAATAATGACATATTAAAGTTCGCTATTTCAAACATATATCCTTTTTTAGAATTTTCACTTTAATCGTACTCAATCTAACAAAATTACGGGCGTGTGCACATTTTGAAAAATATAATCAGATGGAAACAAGTATTTAAGCCGTAATTTGTGGTCTTGTATATATTTCACAAGTTACATTTGACGACTGAATACCATGTGTACATTCCGACATTGCTTTGCTAAGTTTGTTTTAGATTACAAGTTATAACTAAATCGCATTATAGTCATTGACGTAATAAGCACTTACAACCTATACTGTTTCACGCCCAGATATGCATAACATAAAGTCATAGGTCCATACATTACTCCATCAAAAAATTCATTGCAAATCTATTAAATTTTAATATTTGCAAATAATATAACGATCTTTGATAATGATATTTAATGGTCAACGTATTTGCTTCGAAATAAATAAATTATAACTATGTCTTGCATGATTTTGAACAGTGTTCCCCATTTTCCTAAAGAATTCAGTGAGATAGTCTAGGAATTTAAGCTAGGTTTGTGGAGTACTGTTCTTAATTTAGCAATAATGACCTAAATAAGATTTTATAATGAATAAATGCATTTATTCAAGTAATGCAAACCACTTTGTGTATCCGAAAACAAAAATTTCTGCATCCTTGGCAAATACTTAGGAAATATCAAGGGAACACTGTTTGTAATTTTGCGTTGCTGCACCATTGGAGTCACGCTGTGAAGACCTGTAATTGTACTTAGCATTTAATCTACTTGTTGACAGCAAGCTAATTGCCTATTTGCGAAAATGGCTACACGTATTTTGATCTATACTGCCCTTACTCTGCCTTGAATTACCATATATAACAGTAAAAGATAGAACTCCTAGTATTTTATGCGATTTCCTCTTGCTTTAAGAACAGCATCTACTCGACTTGACAGGCTTGAAATAGTACGATCGATTACATCGGTTGACAGATTTTCCAAGGATTTTAAGACCCGCGCTGAAAAGTCTTGGAACGTTTCTTACGTTATAATGTTATATTATTAGCAATTGCTTCATTCTCGAGACTTTTCTTTACCAAGTAAAAAACATTTTCAATCGGGTTCAGGTCCGGCGATCTAGCCGGAATCTTATGAAATTCAGCCTCGATTTTTTCATTAGTGCTTTTCGCGCTGCTTTACTCGTTTGTAATTGGTCATTATCCATGAGAAACAGGCGACGATCGTTTTTTTTAGGTCCGCACTTTGCAAAACAAGTATTAAAATGCTTTCCAATGAACTCTGAAAAGAAATTGCCATTCATTGTCTTATAGGGAACTTTGAGATCCACACCTGTGTCTGACATTGACAAGGTATCAATTTGATAGCTCGTGCTGATCACTTCTCGCTTGATCAATCACATTAAATCACTTCTAAGGGATAATACATTGACCTAAAATGAGCAATTGCTCCGAATTACAAAAGAACAAACTCATCTGGAATGGCGACTTAAGCGAATTAAAGTCCTACGTCGCAGAAAAGTTAAACATAAATGGTAAATGGAAATCACCATCAGGTGGACGCTGGTTATTTACTAGCGATGCTTTGTCTATAACCTGGTATTATAAAAGCAAAACTGTCTTATTTCAAGGTCCTCGTGGCAGCGAAGTGGCTGACTCTTTGAAGAAAAATATCGATGCATCGCGAATTGCAATAGTGAAAGATGCCGAGCTAAACATTGCTACCCCTGCTGTTTCCGAAAGACGGAATGAATCTATCGATAACCAGTGTAGTCTCAGTATTAACAATTCTAACTCGAACATGTTTGATAGATCTAGTAATACCACAACAACTATCAACCGAAACGACTCGGATGCTAGCGAAGGAAAAGCAAATGAGCAAGAAATGTGTTCACACAAGCAGAACGAAGGCGATTATATAATGAATTGCAAAGACTGTAGTAAATTATCTGTAGAAGTAGCAGAAATTAAATTGGACTTGGCATTATTATTCCTAAAAGTTAATACTGCTGAAGTTCCCGCTACATGTGAATGCAATCGGCTACGAAGCGAAAATCAGCTATTGAAACAAGAAATTAAATTACTCAAGGAAACGCTGCACGGCATGGAATTGTCAAAATCGAGAATTAGCATCGCTATCGATAATATGAATAATCAACCAACCATCACTGACAATGACTCTGTCG